AAAATGAATCGATAAAATGTGTGCAATTTGGTCAATTAAATCAATACTGACAATATATGTCATTCATATGAGTGATAATGCTAGTTTTATGGCATTTCCAAATATCGGCAATAGTATATACTCATAAATAATGGATTCAAATTTAAGGATTCAATTATTGACTTATTCGTGTAAAATATCATTCACTGACTTGTATTGTTTGATTAAAATATATCAAACCTATGCTTATAATTAATTATTTTATAAATTGGCCAAAGTCTCAGTTTGTGACGTAGAATTTTATAAGCAGGTCTCTTGTGAATAAGGTAGGGATTGCTCTTCTTGTTTGCAAACCGAGAACAAAATGAAATTCTGCCAAAATACGGGCATCTTTCTTTGTGGGATATCAAAATATTTGTTCTAATTTCATTAAAACATCAGATTTTGTTAAGAGTTAAATATTAATAAAATTAAATTTAAAAAAAATAATCCGAAATGAAAAAAAAAATTTTTTTTTTTTTAATCCTATTTGTTTTTCTTTCCATCATTTGCCTTTTTGCAATGTTCATTTAATGATAAATTATTTAGTGTCGGGCATGCTTCCTGGTAAATGTCAATACGATAAAGAATGCGCCTCCTTTTCAGCTATAACACGTGATATATGAGGAAGTTCAAGAGAAAACAGGCAAAGTCTAGTTCAGGAAACTGAATTATTGTTATTCCTGTCACGATTTTTCCACTTGTGTTCGACAATTAGCAAATATATCAATTGTTCATTAGTAGCAGTAGTAGTATCAGTTTAGTAGTAATAATAGTAGTAGTAGTAGCTGAAGTACTAGTAATAGTAGTAGTCGTGGTAGTTGCTGTTTTTTTTTATATGGGAATTCTACCCATTTGTAATATATTCAAGTATCGCCTGAATAATCATGCCGCTCACCATTTTTCAACATAAAAATAATCGTACCCGTTCATATAGACATTCTGCTAAGAATTTGGGATTCCAGGAAGAAAAATAATTGTACAAAAAAAAAATAAATAAATTAAATGACAAATATTAAACGGGTCTTACCAATAAACATAGTATCTAGTTGTGCGGACTTGAAGTAATTAATTAAAACGTTTCAGCATTTGTATTTACCGCAAGAGTCTACCAGTAAAAAAAAAATGGCGTTGTTGTGACTTGCATAAAAATAACGCGAGAAATATTACACATCTGGCATCATAGTAATATTAACAGAAATAGCTACTACTACTACTACTACTACTACTACTACTACTACTGCTATTAATACTACTACTAATACTGCTACTACTACTAATAATAATCGTAATAATAATAATAATAATCATTATAATAGAAGAAGAAGAAGAAGAAGAAGACTGTTATACTTATAAGATTATTTGATTGGAGGTTTTAACGTGTACCTCTTTTTTCTGTTGAATTAAGATGGTAATGATAATATTAACACTTTTCCTTATAAAGACACATTCTTCAAGCATCCACTTAGTAGCAAACGCTACTTTTGGTTGAAATTTATAAAATCTTTCTATTAAGACAATTTTTCATGAAAGAAAAAGGTTTCTCAAATCCATGAATTATTATCGCATTTTGCAGTATTCATGTTGGGGGGGGGGGCTTCCTTTGTATCCTTTTGTTCGAAGTGGTGTGGAACATCAACATATTGATTACATCATTATTCTCTTTTCGTCTTATATGTGCTATCCATTTTAGTTGTTGCTGCTGTTGGATGTTCTAAAGCTCTGTTATTTTGTATAGTTGTTCATTTACACTATTTACACGTGGGCTATTGGCTTCATGTTTGTTTTTGCTATCACGATGTTTCGGCTGTTGTGCCCCTACAGCCTTCACGAGGTGTCATCTCGATCCAGTTAACTTACAGGAAATTTTGAGCTGGACCTTTTATTTAGTCTACGAAGGTAGACTGTTCTCGTTCAATTGACCAATACTTATTTTTTTAATATATCTCAGTTATTGCTCGTTCTGTTTCGACTGAGTCCAAGTTCACACAGCCCGGACAGAGATTGAACTCACAATTAATATGTTCCCAAATTAAGCTAATAAGATTTAATAATTAATAAAAACTAAACAAGATATCCGTAGATATGAGCAGTGGAACGGGAACAGTGTATTCCCGTAGATTAAATAAAGTGTTCTGTTTGGATTTCTTTGTAGGTTACGCGAATCGACATAAACCTGAAGAAGACTGGAAGTCATAGCGTCCGAAACGTTGTGATGACAACAAAATATGAGAACAAGAATTCGCATTTAAATAGAATAAATGTATTTTTTTTAAAATCATTTCACCCGAAGCAGATTCCACTTGTACACAGGGGGTTACAGTGAGTGAAAATTAGAGAAAAGACTGAATATTGAGGAAAGGACAAAAGTTGAACTGGATTCAAGAAGATCGAAGACGACGATTAATGTTACATTTAAATTTTTGAAGATTGTATCGGGAAGCAAGTAAACGGAATGGATTTCCACAGGTGGGCAGTGTTAGAAAAGAAACAGTTGGAGTGAAAATGACGGTTGGTTTTAGCTATTTCAATAGTGAACGAGTGGAACGTTGATCTGGATCTTGTAGAACGCTTAAATTCATGTAGTCAAGGAACCAGGGAAAAAAAGCTCATGAAAATAGTTGACATGAAAATATTTGTATAGTTGTTTCTTTGTGATTATGTAGCGCCAATTAATAGGGTTTGCTAAAATCTATATTCTTCATTCGCTAAAGGCTATTTTTAAATATTAAACTGAGAATGTGTTTGCATATCGTTAAGAGTTTTCGATATCTCTCAACAAGTTTGTTGCCTTTTTACGCAAGTCTCTGACTGACGAGGCCAATAAAGGAGATAACTCGTGTTGTTAACGGTTTCGGTTTGGCGATGGGAAAAACTACCCACGGTGCAGCGCAATTTAGGTTCAATTTTCTTATCTTCTATTCAAGATCTACTTGTCAGCTGCCAGACCATAACAAGTTGGTCTTGTCCGCTACTGACTGAAGCACTGTCTATATCTGTCCACTAGCGGGAGTTGTTGAGAAACATTATGGATTATGGCCGGGTGACGAGAGCTCTCTCTCTCTCTCTCTCTCTCTCTCTCCCCTTGAGTGGGAGGTTTGGTTGGATTTGGTAACCAAGGCGACTTAAGGGATAGATCGAAATATTTGGGAACATACTCAACCTTAAACCGTCTGCGCTGACTTTATTTCTAACTGGGCTCCACCTACAAGTGTTGCTTTTATCAAAACCTATCACCATATTGCACATATTTGGTTGTGACTCATATACCAAGTATCCTCATATAAAACTGGTTGTCATGGTTTATGGGGTATATATTGTGTTTATATTGTACCCAAGTATCACTTTGACAGGTTGTTCTCTATCAATGATAATAATAATAATATTAACAACAACAACAACAAAATATAATACCACTGAAATTTTTATGTTTGTATTTTCTGATGAGTCATTATATGTAATGAATAAATGAGTTTATTTTGAGTTCGACCACCACAAAATAACGGTAGAAATTTCCCTTTTGTATCATTAAATATTTCAGTTTAATTTAAACAAATATTTCAATAACAATCGAAGTCTGAATGCAGGTCATTATTTATAGAAGTAAGAGGGTACAAATGAAAAGGTTTTCCATTTTAATGAAGCAGACATTAAACATATTAGAACTGTTAGACATAGACATATGTTAGACATTTTCATGACGGTCGTCTTCGAGTATAGAATCCAGAGGTTGGCTGTGAATATTTCAGGGATAGTAGGAAAGCGTAGTGCAGGTTCGCAGTGGATATCGCAGCAAAGTAGCAGAGCGTAGTTCTTCCGTCTGTCATGTTCGCCGGACAAGTTGCCTCTGGTCCTTCCGGTGAGAAAACAAAGATGGCTGCCTTTATACACGACGGATACAGTGTTGTGCGGCTTCTGATTGGTCAACCTTCTATTGGTCGACTATAAAGGGAAATAAGTCATTTTGACTCGCTCACTAGTTATATACCCAAAAAAAACCGTAACAAGAACAGCGTTATAGCTCCCTCCATCTTCTATTTCTTTCTTTCTCAGTGAAACCAAACAGAGTCTCTGATATATCTTGCCGACTTTCTGCGCAATCAAAACGGAATAATTCATTATTTATCAGGTATTTTCAGGGCATTGTTTGGTTGGTTGATTGGTTCGTTCGTTCACTCCTTCCCTCCTCCTCCTCCTTCCTTCTTTCCTTCCTTACTTCCACTGTAAAAACACAGCGTCTCTTATATGTCTTTCCGCGTCATCAAAATAGAATAGTCCATTATTTAAGAGGTATTTGTAAGGTGTGGCGTACGCGCTAACTAAGGAACGAAGGAGCAAACATAATTATAATATCTATTATTTTGTATTTCCTATGCAGTAAAACAGCGTTTTCAATTACGGTCTTCCACCATTTTCTTCTTATCACCTTCTTCATTGTGACATTTGGTGGTGGTTAGTGCTGCATTATCTGATGTCATAGTTTTTCTTTTCTGTTTTATTCTAATGGAATTTTTCCATTAACTATCACATCTTGTACATTAAACATTTCGGTTATATTTCAAGTGGAGAAGTTGAGCAAACGCACCGGGAGCGTGACATATATTTACAGATGTATGTCCTTAGTCATATCAGCACACATATAGAAAGAGAAACATGAACTGACGCATATTAACGCGCATAAGTCGAACAAATAAGCACACAAACATATTTTGCATAAATAGATGTTACTTACCCGAACACTTAACCGTATGAAGCTTTACACGGGAACGAATAAATTTCAGACTTATGTCACGAGCATATGTATCTAGCATTCATTCTTTTCATATCTATCTATCTATCTATCTATCTATCTATCTATATATATATATATATATATATATATATATATATATATATATATATATATGTACACACACATTCAGTTTGTTCACACATTTTATCTCGCTATTTCAGACTATTAATTTATAACTATCTATACTCAGTCAATTTTTATCTCCCTTTCTATCGATCTGTATCTATCTATCTATCTATCTATCTATCTATCTATCTATCTATCTATCTATCTCAATCTGTTTATATCTATCTATGTAATCTCAATCCGTTCACATCTATCTATCTATCTATCTATCTATCTATCTATCTAATCTCAGTCTGTTTATATCTATCTATGTAATCTCAATCTGTTCATATTTTTCTATCTATACTCAATCTGTTCATATCGTTTTATCTCGCCGTGTAATTCAGTCTGTTTCTATCAAACAATACTCAGTTTGTTCATATATTTTATCTCGTTTTTATAGATGTATTTCAGTTTAATAATATCTATCTATCTATCTATCTATCTATCTATCTCCGTCTATTAATATCTATTTGGAAGTGACTGCAAAAGTCATGAATTCGTTTTAGAAATCTAATAATATTTAAGTTTATTAATTATTAATTTTTAATTACTTTCTAAATTAACTTTTACGAAATTGAAATATTGTTTAATTAGTTACGAAAAATAATGTAAACGCACTGACTACCATTATTAGAAATACGATATGAAATTTTAATCATTTCCTCTCCTGAATGCATACCTGTATCTAACGATCTCTGTTGGTTGATCATCTCCCCCACCTTCTCTTTCTGTAACTGCCTTGGGCTAGTTATATGAAGCGTTTCATATAAAATAATTTTTTTTTCCTCCACCCGCAAATAAATGTATGAGTGTGTGTGTGTGGGGGGGGGAGGTTTGCGCGCGCGCGCGCGCGTGTGTGTGTATGTGTGTGTAAAAATACATTATTCTTTGCCTTTGTGACCACCCCATCTGTCGGCTGGGACAATATAGTTTTTTATTAGTTATCTCTGGTAGCACTCATGCACTTTGGGCATATCAGTGGTCCCATCAATTTGGCCAAAAGCCCTAAACGGAAATAATCCATGTCAATTTGGTTGGATAGATGTGAGTTTGTGACCCTGGGTTTCACGCTTTAGCGATCGTCAGACAAACTGATTGAGCGCTTTCTAATAAGTACCGCGCATATAATATATAAATAATTACATACATATATTTATTTATATTTATATACACTTTTCACACACACATATATATATATATATATATATATATATATATATATATATATATATATATATATATATATATATATATATATATATATGCCAACAGCTATACACACAGCTGGTCGATCAGAAAAAGCGTTCGATTAAAATGGAGCAAAAACAGTTTCATGTTTAGATGTAACAGAGTCTATCTTCTTCAATAATTTTAAAGTATTTTCATTAAAAAAAACATTTTGAATTAATGAAGTCACTGACATAACAGAAGTAGTATGTATTTATTCAAGCGAAGTTAGCCAAAGATTTGAAAGGGTTAAACAGGCAACATGAAGATCCACATTAGGCCACAACTGTTTTGGAGTTTTTGAAATTCAGTTTGTCAGTGTGCAAGCAGGGATGTAAAAGAGGAAATATTTATAAAGCGATTGTTAAACTTGATGACAATTATTTGAAAGATCAATGTAAAATAAGAAACAACCCAGTAAAAATCACCATTTTTTCGCTTTTTACTTGGGTTTTCAGTATATCGGTTAACTACATTTCACTACATCAAGTTAAATGAATGTTAAACAATGAACATAGTTGCTACAGTTATTAAATACAGTTTATTAGATTGCTTGGAAACTGAGGGAGTTTTAGATTAAAATTTGTGTTGAAATTGATTTTTGTTGAAATCGATTTTTGCTTTTTTTTTCGGTTTTACGCAGTGGCGTAGAAATAAAAATGTAGTATCTTTGAGCTCGTCATGATGGAAGTAGCCTACATACCCAATTTGAACGGTTCTTCATCGGCTGTATTGATTACTGATGCTTTTAAAATTATCGGTTTTTTACGATAAGAACCTATCTCTTATATTGTAAAATGTATGGGCCAAGTCTGGTCAAAATCAGTTGGATGGATCTCGAGTTAAACGAAATATCCATTTCATATTTTTATATCTACATACACTCTTTCTCTGATATTGAAAACTTTTACACATAAATATAGCATAATATAAAACTATATTTTTATCACACACACACACACACACACATATATATATATATATATATATATATATATATATATCAATATCAAGAGAGACAGACAGACAGTCAGAGAGACAAACAGGCAGAGAGAGAGAGAGAGAGAGAGAGAGAGAGAGAGAGACAGAAAGTGAAAGAAAAGGTAGATAGGGATATATATATATATATATATATATATATATATATATATATATATATATATATAGATAGATAGATAGATAGATAGATAGATAGATAGAGAGCGAGAGAGAGAGAGAGAGCGAGAAATAAAGAAAGACAGGTAGAGAAATATAGCGAGAGAGGGAAATAAAGAAAGAGAAAGGCATATATTGCGATATATATATATATATAGAGAGAGAGAGAAAGAGAGAGAGACAGACAGACAGACAGGCAGATAGAGGGACCGAGAGAAAGGGAAAGAGTCTAAGAAAGATATATATATATATATATATATATAGATAGATAGATAACGAGAAAGGAGAGAGAGAGGGAGAGTCAGAAATGAAAAAAAGAGAGACAGAAAGAAATAAAAAAAGAGAAAGAGAATGTTTTATTCCGATTTCCAGGTGACAGCTATGATTTATCATTGTTTTCTAGCAGCACTAATGCAGGGATGACAAGCGTGCTGTGAGTTTGCAAGTGAACACTTAACGTTCACCATTATTGATTTTTTTTAAATATTAATACTTTCCTCTTATTTTTAGTTGCTTTTCAACGCAAATACTCAAACCGTCACTCTATGGCCATTAGTCTCATTGACAGCTTATTCCTATTTCCTATCTCCGCTGTAACCGTACACCTTTGCTCTAAGTATCTGAGTTTAAAACCAACGGAAAAAAAAAAACACTATTAAAATTTATCAATGACTAACAATATTTTCTGCTATAATAAAAGTAATAATTCTGGATATTATTAACGTTCTTACTAAGGCTGGTTGAAAATGTCGTGAATATTTTCGATGAAAAGTAACTGAAAGATAAAAGAAACATTAGTAAATAATTGTTGACCATGTTTTAAAATTTAAAATAATTTAACCATGTCATTAATGCAATCAGCATATTTTGCCAAATACGCCAACTCGATCCTGTTACAGTGGATAACACCTTCTAAAACGTTCAAACTTGCTTATACTACATTTTCTACCATTTTAAATCTCGTGCAAGCCAAATCTGTATTTACCTTATCAACGGTCCTGCAAGCCAAACCTATATTTAGCATTTAGACTCTTTGTGTAAACTGAACCTATGTCTACCATTTTTTTTAAATTTCGTGTTGACCAGAATTTCTTAATACAAACGAAACGAAACTAAAAAAAAACAAACCCTGACATGACATAGATAATATATAGATTGTTCTTTTTTTTCTACGGATTATCAACCCTTTGCAAGTTATTTAAAGCCAGAAAATGTTTTTAGATTGTAATAATTAATTTTTTGAGATGATAACGGTTTAGTGATACAAGTCACATCAGTTAGCATATAGAAGGGTGTGTGGAGATGAATTCATACATTTTCTAAGCGTTTTTCCCACCGATCCCAACAGGAAATTGAACTCTGCTCTCCGATTAAAAATTCCGAGATATTATCTATTACACCACCCGCAACTCCAAGCTTACAGTAACCAGTATTAGCCAGCGGTCATCCACCTAGGTACTGAGCAGGCTCGACGTTGATCGTTCGGAGTGTAGATGAATGTTTGAACTCGCAAACAACAGCAAATTCAAAAAACTATCCTCATCCTTCTCAAATCTCAATTAAATAGGAAAGAATATTAATTTCAGTGGTATCTCTTTTTCTTCTTCGTTGCTTCTGACTGACAGATATTCGAACTGTTACTGTCACATGACTATCTGCTGATCTATTACTGAGACGGTAAACATTTGTCTTTTTTTCAAAATGTTATCTGCTATTATGGAGAGGATTCGCCAATATCTCACGTCGTCTGTTTAAACGCAATCGGCAATCGATTAGTGTGTTTTGTAAAATCGCCATTTTTAGAAAACCTACAGGGCGTTAATGTTTCTTTGAACAGAAATACGGCTTAATGACGAGAGAGAGAGAGAAAGAGAGAGAGAGAGAGAGAGAGTGAGAGAGAGAAAGAGAGAGAGAGAGCGACATATAAGGAGATAGATAGATAGATAGATAGATAGATAGATAGATAGATAGATAGATAGTGGAAGCATCGGGATGGTTGGCTGGTGTTCGTTGGAAGCTTACAGCAGAGATGATAATGGGCCTTGAGTGGACAATTTGAGAAAATTAAGGGAAAGCGTGTACAGAGGAGAAAGCGGAGCAGATGCAAGGAAAAAATCATGGGAAATAAAAGGCGGGAAAAAGGCGAAAGAATTCAACATAGAAGAGAGATGGATCAGCGAAGATTAAATATTGATAGGTAGGGAAGTAAAGTGATAGAATTTATTATATGCTATATCAATCTATATATATCTAACTATCTATCTATCTACGTAACTATCTCTCTCTCTCTCTGTATATATATATATATATATATATATATATATATAAACACAGAGAGAGGGAGAGATGTATGTGTGTGATGTGCGTGCTTGTTTGTGTTGAGTACACACACACGGACATATATTATATATATATATATATATATATATATATATATATATATATATATATATATATATTTATATTTATATAGATATATTTACGAATGGGTAGGATAAAATATCTACATACACGCACAAATACAAGCACGTACGTGTAAATATGTTTCTTCCTCAGGTGTTATAAATACAGTACTCGCTGTTATGAAACAGAGCGATAAGTATATATTAGTGAATATAGATAATCTTCAACGTCGATTTTCATTTATAATTATAAATAATTGATGTAGGATATTATGTATATTATATATATATATATATATATATATATATATATATATATATATATATATATATATATATATATATATATGTGTGTGTGTACAAACGCATACTTATATAATCATGTACAGGCATCCCTTGATTATTGTGCATTCAATTAATGCGTTTTCGATTAGTGTGCTAAATTTTTTATGTACCAAATTTCAATTAGTGCTTGCATTCTACTCGATTAGTGCGGTAAAACATTCTTTAGTTCAACCATAGTAATTGAAAATTGATTTTTTATAGTTACCGCACATTAGACGCACTAATCGAAGGATTCCTTTATATTTAATATTCATATTTACACGCACATATTAGCAGATATCGCTGTTTTTATCTAAAATATATGCACATGTGTATGATGAAATTTGAAAATGTAAAGAATGTATAAATATGACAATATATATATATATATATATATATATATATATATATATATATATATATATATGATTTTGTATTTGAGCAGCAAACCTTCTTTTATACAAGTTTCATTAAAGACCAATGCCATTGACAAGTCACTTTTTATTCAATTTTACTCGTGTTCATTTAAGTGATTTCTTTTCTGAACATAGAGTCTGTTCAAATGTTTTATATATACTTTCGGATATTCTTTTTTATTTTATTGAACTATACCCACACGTTAGCAAAGGCTAAAATTAATGAAAGCATTAATAATAAAAAAAGAAAACTAACAAACAACGTCAACTACGAAAACGGCCACAATGCCCCGACCGTGTTTGGAAAATAATAATAAAAGAACTAAACATTTCTATCGCTTCACATACATATAGAACGATCTATATATTCAGTTAAAAAACTAAAATACAAAAACATAATTGAAAATGGCTGATAAAATAGCCGAAAGTGCTCGGATATCTAGAATATTGAGACAGTTTTTACGCACTTTTTTTACAGCAAAGAAATCACTGATACGAATATAAGAAAATTTGAATAAAAAGCTTAATCATCATACGTCAGGAGATATTAACATATTAAGAAGATTTTATTAATATACTATTTGGTAAATTTAACTACAGGAATGATCAAAACGTTTCGCCAAGGTTACACAAACAACTTGTATCGAATATTTACCAGTTTCGACTTTCTTTTTAAGAAGAGTAGATGAGTCTTTTATTTGCGAGTAGTATGTGAAGTTTTATGCGTTAATATTTTATTGTTGGGTGACAATGAGTGAAAGGAATATGGAACAATTGATTAAAGCTAGGTTCCGGGTAAATTTAGCCCCATTAAAATTATCTTATGTCATAAAGACATTGAATATTTGATAATAAAATCAGGGCAAAAGATGTAAACGATGACGCACAATGTATTAAACCAGAAACACAAGGAACGGAATCTTGGTTGAAAGAATATGATCCTTAGTGCACTCCGATCAATGAATAAGTGTGAAAACAGAAATATCTATTTGATTAAACTAAAAAGCTTGCAGATTGTAACAGAGAATTTGGGAATAAAAAAATATCTGTGTTTAAAATTTCCATGTACTTGGCTAAGAAATCTATTCCAAAAATAAGCCATTCATATTTTCATCGTGCTCCCTTTAAGTTTGGGTTATTTCCAAAATTGATGAACTGTCCTGAAATGAATAAGGTTACCTGGCAACCAACAATATGTGACTATATTACTATAAGTTATTCTGATAAAATGTTCCAAGAATGTTTCTAACAACAGATCTAGTCTGTGAGAAGGCATAGCTTAACAATAGGCGTATTTTGAAAGTGAGAGAAGCAACTTGAGTCTATGAAAATCATAATTTGTTTTCAATGAGCCATTCTGAGATTTAAATTGTAAAAACTGGCATTTCTTATAACTGCTTTTTATCATACTTCCTGAAAGTGTTTGCTTTCTTGGGAAATAACAATTTAGATTGGCAAGTAGGTTGCAATGTTTTACAGTTAAACTAGTTAGATGTAATCATATGATCTGTTCTAATAGTTTTCTTTTCTCGGACCTCACACCTACTTTTTTTTTCCTTCTCTGCCACATATCATCTTCAAACAATTAAATGCAATCCCAATCGCCATTTCCTGTCTTACGGAACGCTGTTCTTTTATTGTCCTTTCTCTTCGCATCTTCTCACTAATATCTTCTCATTCTCTTTCACTCCCAGTAACATTTGGTGTCCTAGTGGCATTATCACCCGATTTGGGTGAAATGCTGATTTTCTAAGTGCAGCTTAGATAAGGATCGAACTCACTATTCTGTCGCAAATGATCTAGCGAGGCAAATTTGCTAAGCATTACACTACGTCGAAGAACCCAAATATTTTTCTAAGCTGTCCCAAGACAAAAACGAAACTCGGAGATAATAAATGATAAATCCTACCCAGCCTGTGCCAGACAAATATATTTACCTAAGTCTCTCTCTTCCCTAGTGACGGGATGCGACACAAGATTTGATATAGGGTAGCTGAGCGCGTAAAAACGAATCATTGGTCAAAATATTGGTCAAGTTTTGTGCGGAGTCGGGAACGAAACTAATCTTAGCATGTTATTTCGCTGGCAAATGCCAGGGAAGTATATGAAGAAAGAATATGACGAAATATCGCCGTTTCGCACGAGATAAAACTAAATCAAATTATGTCAGTTAGAGTTAGAGCTATATCCAGCCCGAGAAGATTTAAATAAATCAGAATGTAGCTATCTAAGAATTTTAATTAAATCAGTTGTTTGTTTTTTTTCAAACACTTAAAATATTTATTTAAGAGGAAACTTCTCTTTTAATTAAAAAAACCCTGGTTCACGTGGATATTTTCAACCTTTTCAATGTAAATACGTATTGCAATTTCGCACCGCCTCAACGTCTGCCACAATAAATATTAAAACCTGATCGATCGAGACGAACTCTAAAGGTTAAAATACACAAAATGCTGCTATTTTAAACTAAATCAATGGTTTGAATTATATAAAAAAACAAAAACCTTTACTCTGTTTCGTATTTTTAACTAATTTAAGAATTACAGTGTAAATAATTTAACCCTTTTATACAATTTTATACTAAATTATGAAGTTTACTCTCAAAATTTTTTTAACTCAGCTCGCATTTTGAAAGTAACTCAAAGATTTGGCGTTTACAATTTTAACCCGCAGCACATTTTTATACAAAATAAGTATTTGAGCTAAATTTTTCAACATTAATATCCTTAATTTTAATATGAAATTGTGATGCAGTTAAACTTTTATAACTGTAAATCCTTTGATTTAATTTAAAAATAAGAGAAAGGTGCGACTACAAATAAATACAAATAATAATTGTATCCAGATTCTAGAAACAATAACTTCACCATTCTTATTTCTATGTTCAGAGACGAAGTAGAAAGCACAAAATGTGATCATTCAGATAGAATAATCAACCAATAAGATGATTCGATAGAGTTTTCAAAATCCATAAGCATTTGAATAGGTAGATATTTGGGGGGACTTTTTAAAATCATTTCACCTCAAGCGAAGGTTAGTGCCACATTACTGGGAGTAAAACAGAATCAGAATATTTTAGTGCGGACAAAAGAAAAATAAAAGAAGAGGATCCAGGAAGACAGAAGATGGCGACTGGTGTTGCAATTACATTTTTGAAGATTGCAGGTGACAGATAAGAAACGAAGAAATTGGGGAAAAAAAAACCACAAGCAAGAAGTATGCTAATCCTTAAATGAAGATCAAAAAGTAAAAACGAGTTGGTAATCCAAAAAAGTGGATGACAAAAGTGTAGATAATTCGGCCTTATCAAAAAGACAGACTGTTACTGTAGTGACTTCAAAGGCACTATTTACATATGGAGAGGTTCCAACAGCTAATTGTCTTCTTGTCTCTCTTCAAGAACCTATGTAGACGAGAAAACGCCCTCTTTCTAAAAAGCATATATTCTATCTTTCACCTTCATATAAATTTCCAGATCACTTTTTGATGGCGGCAGAGCAAAAATAAATCATTCGATTTCTAAATAACATTTCTCAAGCACCTACAGACACAATTTTTCAAATGAAATTTTGTGAACGATTTTTTGTAACATGATGAAGAAAAGTTTCCTGTTGTATTTACCATCTACACAATTCTGTTTGTAATTCAGGTTTTGTATTATAGCAAACGAACAAAAAATAACATCTAGCTAGAATATATTCATATAAAAATATTCTATTAAATAGAACGAAAAGAAGATGTTTGCTGTAGTCAATTTTAAATTATATTTCATAGAAATAACCCGTAAATCCACTAGGATTTCAAAAATGAAATTGTTATCAAAAGGAATAAAACAAAACATTACGATCTCAGTCAGATGACTTTTTTTAATACTT